CGGGCTGCGGTGCTCACAGAGGGGGCTGCACCCCGCCCGCCGTTGCTGTTGCGGATGGCGGCGTGAGGTCGGCGGAGCTGCCCGAGCTGAGCGCGGCGCGCCCAGTGTGCGGCTTTGCGGAGCTGAGGAGGCGGGTCCTGCGGGGCCGCGGGCGGCCACTCGGCGGCTGCCGGGCTCTGGGCGGGGGCCGGGCAGGGTGCCGCCTCCTCCTCCTCCGCCGCCTCCTCCTCCGCCGCCTCCTCGCAGTGCAGCGTGAGTAGGGAGCCCCGGCTGGTGGACGCCGAGCCTCTCGGCTCCGCGGCCGCCTCATCCTTGAGGTGCACCCGCACCTCCGCGTGTCTCCCCGAGCCTTGCGAGTTGGCCGCGGACACGCCGGGGACGAGCCCCCGTTCTCTTCGCTTACCACTCTTACTCACCCCCACCCGCTCCTCCTGCAACCTCCCTTTCCTTTCCCCACTAGGAAAATGGTTCCTGCTGCTGGGCGAGGTGAGTGGCGATCGCGGTCCGCCCGCGGTAGAAGCGATGGGGCAGGTCACCTGCGCGGGAGGCCGAGTGGAATGCGGGAGTCGGATTGTCGCGGCGGGGTCCTGACAGCTTGGGTGCCCCGCGGACCGCAATCGGGTATGGGAGAAGTTGGTGGGGGTGTTCGGGGGGCCCCTCGCAGGTCGTCTCCTGCCGTGCCCGCACCCGGAGATCGTAAAGGTGAGCGGGTTTTTTGCGTCTAGGCGCCGGGTCCGGCCAGGAGTCCCCGCCCAGGGCCCTTGGGATGGGGCTGTGTGGGGCTTCGTGTCTACACTCGCAGCTCTTCTCCGAGCTGCCTCGGCCGCGCCATAGCTCATCCCGTCGCCGACCGCCCCCGCCCCGGCGCATGGTGACCTTGAGGGCAGCGGTCTCCACGCCCCAGGAGGGTCACCCCTTTAATCCTCGTCTTCGGCTCCTTTGGCGCTCTGCAGGCGTTGAGTAGGGACCCTTCGTCAGGGGGGTCCGGGGCTGCTTGATTGATGGGTGTCACACCGAACGGTGGTTCCTTGGGACTTGGAGAGCCATCTCGCCTTTCTCCCGGCGTCTCCGGTCTGGCCCCCCAGGATGTTCCCGGTTGCTTCGGATTCGCGTTTATGGACTTAGTGTAAAAGAAAAACAAAAAACAAAAAACCCTGCGTCCTCCACCTTTTTTTGGAACGGATCATTAAGAAAGAACTGCATTCCAGTTTCGGGATTGGGAGTGTGCTCTGTTCCATCCTGCGGGAGAATCCTTTGGTTAAGCTAGTTAGCGACCCCTGGTTCTGCGCCGGGGTCACTATCCAGGTTGGTCTCTGCGCATTTCATTCACCAGTTTTCTGCGGGACTCGCAGTGCTGGGAGTGCTCGCATGCTGTGCGGTGCAGGGGGCTTGGCGCCGAGGGCAGGGTAGGGGGGTGCTAAGGGCTGTAGGGGTCTCTCAGTCTGTAGAGGGCTTGACCCTCCTCCGCAGGCATATTTTTACCTTTCTCTGGGGTTAGATCGCAGCAGACACCCACCTTTGGCTGCTATGCACGCTACTTTTCTGGGTTTATTAATAATCGAATGGCTCCTGTTGGTGTCGATTGCTGTTCATGATAAAGTAGTTATATGGATTTTTTTTTCATACGTGTGTAGTTAAATGCTTATATCTGGACTGTCTGCCTTACAACATGGAAGCCTTTGTTGTGCTTAACTTCCCCCACCTGAGGACAGTTTTATTTTAAATAAAGCTCCTGTTTAGCGTGGGTGTATTTTATAATAAGATGTACTTGTAAGGATCTGCTATGTATGAGGCTCTCCTCAGGCAGGTGTGTAACCCTTTGGATTGTGGCCCATGTGAGTGAATGGAGGGCCTTCACCGCTTGCCCTGGTGCCAGCCTTTCTCAGGCTCCCTGTCCTTGTGTGTGGCAGCGGCGGATTGGGGGAATTAGAGGGATTGGAGGAGAATCTCTTTTTGTATTTGTGCGTTTCGTTTACGTCCTCCTCCCCCTTTTCTTTTTTGTCCTAGTGAGTTCAAAACTGAAGTAAATAGAAATATTTACTGAAGGGAGCCTTTGAAAACTAGTATATGAAATGGGCTTATTTAGCCATGATTTCAGGGGGATGTTTTAGTTTCTACCTTGCTTTGGATGAGACAGTTAAATTGCTGTAATTAAGGGTGGATCTCTGTCCTGATTTTGGCTTGGGCGTAACTGCAAAGATCTTTGAAAAGTAACTGTTATTGCCTACCATATAGTCTGCAAAAGTGAGTCACAATCGGGTGAGTTGAGGACAGAGCGCCACCTTTGATTTAAAATTTCATGATTTTGTTTTTATTAAAATTGTGAAAATTCAGAGTATGCCTTCTTGATTTTTATTGCAGTTGTCATTACTGGCATCCTCATGTATAAGGTGAAATTTTCATTTTTCTGTTTTCTGTAATTCCTCACTTTTAGGGGGGGATTTCTGCAACTAAATGGGAAATCATGGTTTTTAAATTGAAGCTTGAATTTTAATGTAGGATTCTGAGATGAGGTGAGAAACTAGTTATGATTTGTGCTTCTGATAAAATAATAGGGAGTAATGATATCTGGATACTTAGGAAAAGAAATAAAGACATAGCTGCATTGTAAATAGATATTTAAAACTAACCATTGCCAGCCACCAAATAAGGAATCCTACCAGTATAATAGTGGTCTTACAGTTTCTTTAGCTTGTGTGGTATTAACAGATTCTAAAGTAAACATGCAAAATCTGTAAAATTATTAACCTTGCTTGTTTGTTCATCTTCCAACAGCTTGCCTTTTATGGCTTTACTGGAGTTTTACAATTACTTGTTTTTGAATAATACAAATGAAGACTTGCAACAGGACTTACATTCAAAGTTATTAAAGACCATGTTGAAAAAAGTGGTTTCTATATATGGTTCCTCCTCTCAAATGTATCTCATATAAAAATAAATGGGAGTTTTTAATGCCTAGACAACAAATGCTATAGTTACAATTGGTGAAATTTCCTTTCCAGCCTGTTTGCTCTCTCATGTCCCCCTCCCTCCCAAATAAAAAATTTAGGGTACACTATCTCTTTAGGTACAGGATACTTTTTGATTATTGCGACTGCAGATGTAACATGAAGAAACAAAGATTTAGCTTTCAAGTAATGAATAAATTGATGTGGATATTACAAAATAGTAGTTTTAATTATAAACCACAAGGTATTCTTGCCCTTCCATCTGCATTTAAGTTTCAGCACTTGAGATTTCTTCATAAACTGCTATAAAGCGTATGCTATTGGGCTGTAGATAAATTTTTAGTTAAAATTAAACAAAAATAATCTGAGATGAAAGGTGGTTTATGCTTTTTCAATCTGTGGAATATGGCCCTAGATTAAAAGACATTATTTGAGCAATTAGGTTGATGTATGCAGAGTAATTATACGTTATTATATATACTTTGGTAGAATCCTTGATTTGGGAGTTAAATTTACTAATTCCCTTTGACAGACATGTTAACTTCATTATGGATAAAACAGTCTAATACTGTGAATTGAGTTGTATAGGTCAGGTTTTAAGAGAAATGGTTAATTACAACTATCGCTGGTCTTTTTCAGTACTAGCAAAAAGTAGTTGCCGTTTTTTCCTTACATTTTTACACATACATTACAGTTGAAACTGGTCGTTTTCACTTTTTATTTCTGGAATTTCTAATGAATGAGCAAAAAACAAAAACAAAAAACCGCAAAGGAGTGAAGACCAGGAAGCAGAAACTTAACAATTATATTTTTGCAATTTGTGTAAGAATATTTACTCACCTAGTTGGAAGGGAATAATTATTTTCTAATAGGTGTCATACATAGACGGGTACGGAGAGCAGCTTATTTTGGAATATATACAATCTGAGATAACATTAAAGGAAAATGATAATAGTTATGGGAATCATTTTCAAAAAAATAATTTTTAAAGAGATTTATTTTTTAGCTTTTACAAATGTTTTGTATACAAACATATACATTGTTGTCTTGTTATGGGAAATGTCAAATACATGAAAGTATAGAGAATAATACACATACTGACCAGTTGTGACAGTTACCAGTCATGGCCTATCGAGTATCATTTGTATTTCTACCCAAGAAATAGATTATAAATGGGGACATAGGACAAGTAACTGAATTGAATTCTTAGGTTTTATATTTGTAATTTACAGAATATACACAATAGTGTTCTATATCTAATTGAATCTGGAGTCAATTTTTATGTTCTTCATTGTTACCGAAATGCTCTTTTATTGCAGGCACATAATGATAATGTCTCTCGAATTTTGATCTCTTAATACTAATGCTTTGATTTATAAAGTATTTTACAATATTTCAGAATATATTTACATACTATCTCATTTGATTGTCGTAATAAATGATCCTGGGAGATGAGTAAACAGTTGCACCCTTTTTTTTTCCTCAGGGAGGTAAAATGATTTGTCTAGTCCTAAGGTCACATAGCAAGCTGCTGCTAGATTAGCCAGAACTAAATTTTAGGTGGCTTCTAGTTTTTGCTCCATTGCTTTCACCATTGTACATGTTTATGTATGTTTATTAAAGTTATATAAATTTATGAAAAATTAGTTTCTGACCGGAGTAAATAGTGGGATATTAACAGATTTGTTTGGGTTTAGCTATATACATTTAATCATTGCTTATACTTGGTATAATGTTTACAGTTCATCCCCTATTTATTTAACAGCTGAGTAAATGAATTTGAACATATTTGAAAGACTGTATTTGTAATATTGTAGATTAGAATATTAAGTAAAGAAATTCTTTTTCAAAGATGAAAAGATTTAGGAGTGTCTTAAATCTTGAATTAAAAATAAAATGGCCTATACTTTAAGTTTTTTAATTCCTGCTATAATTTTTTTGCATACTTGTTTTTTTGCCATGACATTTATTACTTAAATCTTTTTGAAATATTAATTTATGTAATGAAATTTAGTTTAAAAAGGTTGTGAACAAGATTTTAGTTCTTGAAACCCAAAACTTTTTTTTTTATAAATCTCACAAGGAAGGTGTTGGTTCTCTTCATTATTAGTGTGCATGAAGATCACCTGGGGCAGATATTAAAAGTACAGATTCCCTGGCATTGCCTCTGCTTTTCTGAATCAGCAAATTTGGGGTGGGGGCCAGTAATCTGCATTTTGAAAAACATTTATGTTGAATTTTTAACTAGGGTAAAATTATATTATGTAGTATAGATGCCTTTATAAATTAGAGGGGCATCATTATTTATTTGACTTCAAACATAGGGAGTTAATGCTTTCAAATAGTTTTGACTGTTGTAGCCAAATTTGATTCATGGACTTTGGTGGTTTTGTGACAATTGTAAAACTTGATAAATTAAAAAATATTTATGTTATGTGTGTGCACTGTATTTTTTAAGAAAGTCCGCCGTGGTTATTTATTAAGTTACTTATTAATCCCATAAACTCCTAGACAGAGAATGTCTTCTTTTTTTGTTTT